TACTGAGTAAATAAGATTCAGAAAAAAAAAAAATTTCAGGGAAAAAGTTCTATTTTGTTTAAATTTTATGAAATCTACACAAACAAAATAACTGTTATTTTCAAATAAAATAATTAGTTAACAGAACAAATTTTCATATATTAAAAATCTATCAATTAAGTTTCTTGACGAATAGATATTTATAGAACAAAACTTAGGTTCACCCCTAGGGTGAACCTTCAAATTCGCCTCACCTCTAATAACCATTCATTATGCCACATAGATTAATATAGATTAATGCATAAAAATTAATAAATACTTTAAAAAAAAAACAAAATAATTATAAAAATAATAATAACACCAATTTTAAAAAATAATAAAAACCTAAATCCAAACCATAACCCTAAACCAAAATCTATACCCTAAACCCAAATCTTATACCCTAAAACCTAAACTTATACTCTAAATCTAAACTTTATACCCTAAATCTAAACCATATACCCTAAATTCTAAACCCTAAATACTCTAAACCCAAAACCTAGACCCTAAACCCTAACCCTTAGACCCTAGATCATAAACCCAAACTTTAGATCTTGAATTCAAACCCAGAGTCTAAATCCAAACTCTAGATCATAAATCATGAACCGAAACCGTAAATTCTAAATTCAAACCATAAATCATAACCTTAAATTCTAAAGGAACAAGTACAAGATTCTGCTTTAGAATTTAAGGTCTAGGGTTTGGGTTTAGCGTTTAGAATTTAAGATATAGGGTTTTGGTTTAGAGTCTAGGGTTTAGGTTTTAGAGTATAGAATTTAGATTTAGGATATATGGTCTGAATTTAGGGTTTAGGTTTAAGTTTTAGGGTATAGGGTTTGTGTTTAGGGTTTATATTTTGGTTTAGGGTTATGGTTTGGATTTAGGGTTTAGCTAACTTTATTAAAATTGACATTATTATTATTTTTTATAATTATTTTTGTTTTTTTAGAAATATTTAATAATTTTTATTCATTAATCTATGTGGCATAATGAATGGTTATTAGAGGTGAGGTGAATTTGAAGGTTCACCTTAGGGGGTGAACCTTAGTTTTTTTCATATTTATAAGATCTACTATGATGTAATAAAACAGTTTTGTCCTATTTCCACCATAATGATACCAATCTTACAAAATATTCTATAAAAAAAAAAATTCTTTTGCACTTTGAAACTAATAAGGCATGAAAAGAATTTCTATTATTTTTTATCTTTCTATAATATTTACCTGGACCAATACATGATTTGTTTTAGTTTTTCTGGGGTCTGGTCTTTTAATAGGAGGTATGGGAGTGGTATTACTTACTAACCTATATTTTCAGCATTTTTCTTAGGCATTGTTCTTGTCTATATATTTTTATTGTATATTCTAGCAAATTTCCATTTTGTAGCTGCTGCACAAATTCTTATTTACATGGAGGCCACAAATTTTTAGTTATATTTTCTGTGATATTCATGAATGATTCTGAATATTCTATAGATTTCAATATGTGTAGTGTTGGGAATTGAATTAATTCATTGGTATGTACCTAGGTTGCATGGAATCGGAAACGGATACGTGAAAATGAAACGTTGCGAAACAAAGAAACGTGATTTAAAAAAAATAGAAATGAAAACGTTTTAGAAAGTCTATAATCTATATATATATATACTAGGTAAAACCCTCCCTAGGGGGGGGGGGTAAGCACGTTATAATTAGTAATTGAAAATAATTTTAAATTCTAAAGAACATTTGACATTTTCAAATATTTTTTGTGTCTCTTTTACGCTAACATTTTACCAAAATTGTAAGAAGTAGGACTATTAATAAGAAATAATGTATTTAAAGAATACAATCGTATTATGTTCATAGTTTAATATATATAAATTCTTCTGAAGATCATTTTTTTAAAGGGAAATCTGTTTAGGACAACACAAATTCATAAGTTTCGAGCTAACGAATTAAATACAAAAAATATTTATTTACTTAAAGTTTTATGATGATAGTGTTCATGTTTTATTGGAAGAGATAAGAAAAAACTGCTAATTTGAATTGAAATCCAAGTGGCATATTTTGTTATTTTTTTCTTATTCTCAAGGTTTTTAAGGTTTTACTAAAACTTAACAAAATACGATAAACTAAATTTTGTTTTTGTCATTGAGATTTTTCTAAACGCTCACATACAGTATTACTTCTTCCATTTTCACAATAGTTTAAAATAAAATCATTAATATTAATAAAGTTTCTATTTTGTAGAACATAGTATTTAATTAAAAAAATATACTAATTATAAAAATAGACATTATTTGATTGGTCATATTATATCTAGTACATGCAAAAGTTACCTAGATGTAAGAAAGTTACCTATATTTTGAAACAAACAAATTTCTTAATACTATTTACAATAAGAAACGGGGGGAGTAGTATATAGTTTTAATGAAGATACATTATTTAGTTTGTTTTTGTTAATAAATACAAAACTTAAGAAAAAACTATAGTTTGCAAAAGAAATGAACGAGAATTAATGAAAGAGATCGAGCTATAAAACCCTCATTTGTTACTTTGTATTTCTAACTTTAAGAATTATTATTTTCCATTAACAAAACTATAAGATTTATTACTCTAAGTAATCCAGAACCAATAATTGTTGATTTTTAGTATTTCTTTGAATTGGGTTTTAATTTAAATGTTAGTATAAAATAACTCTATTCAATAAAGTTAGCAAAATCTCTGATTATATCATTGTAAAGCCCTTTATACATTTTTTTTATATTCAATCGATGGTTTATGTCGACCACTCGCGGTGGCTCTCCTCCTGTCAGGAATCCTAGGAATCATTTCAGATTTTTTATGTGTACAACCAAGTTGGCAGTGACCAAGGCCACAATACGACTTCTGACTTTATTCATAATTAAATGATGCCAAAGACATTTTGGTTAATCAAAAGTATCTGAGGTATCTTTATAAGAAACCTCGGTGAACAAAATAAACGCTAGATGTAGAGATTTCTCAGATACTTTTGATTAACCAAAACACTATATATAATTTTTAGGGACACAAATTGCAGTAAAATTACAGTAAATAGGTAGAAAAGTGGGATTCATTTAATGATGCCATAAAATTCTTAATTAAAGATGAACCGACAAACAAACGAAAAGTCAAAAGATTAACCAAGAATCATGACACATGTCATGCTGAGAAAAAATAAATTAGTGATATGGCACTCTCATATGAGAGAAAAGTCTACTTTATATAATAAGAAGAAAAGACTACTTTATATAATAAGATATGTGTGTGTGTGTGTGTGTGTGTATACATATGTATGATTAATCAACATGTAAGCTTAATTTCTTTTTTGATTTGTCTAAGAGAAAAAGTTAAGTAATATAAGTATTTTTTGTACATTTTACTAAAATTATAATCAATAATTAGAAAGTAACATATGTTATCATTTGATAAAACTATGAAGCAACTTCATTCCAAATCAAATCATTACACTAAAATGATAATAAATATCAAAAGATAATATTAAAAAAATAAGATAATAAACATGTAACCACTAACATCAAATGGTAAATAGTTAATTTTCTCGTTTTTCTAATTAGAATCGCGGGTTTCTAATTTAAAATCGTGAGTTTTCAAATTAGAAACGCAAGTTTCCATCGTGTTTCGAAAATAAAATTTTCGAGAAATGTGTTTCCAAAGAGTTTCCTCGAGTTTCCAAATTCCGATTCTGAAATGTTTCCGGAACATGAAACGAACCTTGAACAGAGTTTCTATGCAACCTAGGTTTGTAAAACTATTTTGTTTTGCATTAATTTCTACTATTCTCGATACGTCATGGTACAAGGGTTATTTGGACTACAAGATTAAATCAGATTTTAATACAAGATATAATAAGTAATACTCAATAAATAGAAATTCATTTATCAACAGATTTATTTATTTATTTGAATTCATTTCAATAATTCTTTTAGTTGCTTTGATAAGTGTAATTTATGTGGCTCATAGCAAACGATTAGTAAAGACCAAAGAAAACTTTTTGTTTGTGTATGTAATGATATTTTTTCGTTCATTTAATTTGATTTAATAATATTTTATTTTTTAAATATCAATTTGTCACTGAATTAGCCTCGATGTTGAAAACACGAGAAACTAAAGAAAAGGAGATAAAGTCAAGGGATTGCAGCTGTAATTATCTCCACCTGAATATACTCCGTGCTAGGATAAATTATTTACAATGTTTGGATTCTCGGCAAAGAGGTGAAACCATCTTTCTATTTTACTAAAAAAGAGATGAATTCAAAATACGGAATATAATGATAGATAGCAAATATGATCCCGAACAGTTAGACATACAAAAACTTATTATAAATCCTCAACTGTAATATGAAAATAATATTGTACTAAGACTGATTTTAAGTATAATCCATTTGACTTTCTCACTAAAACAGAATAACTAGATCCAAGAGAGAGAGATAGAGAGAGCTGAATAAATTGATCGAATCGACATCCAATAGTGTTGGAAGTCATCGAGAAGCAAAAAATAACTAAGAATATTTAAGCTAATCATTTATAGTATTTTATTGCACTATCATTGCAATAAATAAAAATGTAAATCAACTAATTGAAAATTAAAATAAAAAGAGTTGGAAAATCAAAATAAGAGCATAAAATCTACACATGTAACGTAATGTATTTGTGTGTATGGCGTATCTATTGAAATCTGGACACAATCTGATCCAGCGATGCATTAGTTATTAACTTATTATACGTATATATGTCTTTAATAAAAACTTAAAATGAAAATTAATTAAGAAAAGCTTATAAAAAAGACCAACAATTCACCATGAAAGAGATCTCTCTCTGATTCCTTAGCTTAAAGCCAACTAAACAAGAAAATCCATTTCTCTATATCTCTCTCTAGAGAATACTTTCTCCCTTTAGTTCTTGAGTTTCCTGTGCACATAAAGAAGAAGATTAAAATTAAAAACTGATAAAAGAAACATGGCAAGTAATTTTTTTGGTAGACCAAACATGAGAGGATCTTCGCAGTCGTCATCGTCTCCAACATCGTCTTCTTCATCTCCAACGACCAGAAGAGGGAAGAAGAATGGTTCCGAGAAGCCAAAGCAACCACAGAGAGGTCTCGGAGTAGCACAACTGGAGAAAATTAGATTACATGGCGAGATGAGTTGCAACAATTACAATCCGTCTTTCTATCCTCAGGTAACATCGTATATGCATATATATACAATAACTATATAATCTCCCGAGAGTTGATCACTTGATTAACATCTGGTTGTGTGTGAGACAACCAAAAAGAAGTCTTTCTGCCCATCGGATCTCCTTTAGGAATCCGGCCATGAACTTTAAGATGATTGTATGAAATATAAAGGTGTTTTAATTTCTTTTATTGTTCTTAGATTTAACAATAATTAACACCAAAGATTACAAAACGTATGTATCTTTCCTTTTCTTGTCCCAAAAATCATGTTCGATCAGGTCAGAAATCATTTATCTATCAATTTTACTATATTGATTATACGTGAATCAGTTTTCTCCTTTGGATATAACTAGAAAGAAACTCCCCATCTACTATTGAATATCGATACTTAGAAATCTTGATTACTATACAATTCAGATAAGTCATTATTGTAGGTTCTTGAATTCTCGAGGGCACCACTCTCATTTCTTAAAATACCCTCACAGAAATTACATGTTATAGATGAAATTTAATCGTTTTCTGTCACATGTCCATCTAATTCGATTTCTTTCATGAGTATGATTTGTATATTAATCAGACCGTCATTTGTGCATGTAAATGTAGGAGAATGTGAGGATGCAAGGAGAATATTCATCCATACCATCATCATCGCCATCCTTTACATATGCATCATCATCATCGACTCCAGATATGATGGTATATATTTACCTTTAACTCTCTATTTGTCTGCGATTTATACATGATATTGTGTGTGTGTGCGCGTGTGTGTGTGTTTATTTGGATTTATATTCTAACATATAAAATCTTATACACGATTGGGTCAATCATGTTTCAATCTATAAGAAAACTCTTTTCAAGAAATCATTAATGAAAATAGATAAGCGAATAATATCAAATATTAATTGTTTTTATTCTGCTATTGGCAGATGGGTGTACATAGAGATCAATACGAAAGAGCAACCATGAGGTACATATAAAATCACTTTCAACTGTTATTCTTAGGCTTGTGAATATGTATGTGTATATTGTTAGATATTTCGCTTGGTCCTAAAAACTAATAACGTTTTATTTTTTGTTAAAAACAGTTGGAACCCAAGCTACGGCATCTTAGAGAGCCAACATTCTCTGGAACCAAACAGCACTAGACATTTGTTACACGAGGTTCTTATTCTAGACTATCCCATATATATATATATATATATATATATACACACACATGATAACATTTTCATTAATCACCTGCATGATCACATACACATTATAACAATTCCATTTTCATTGATCTCATGACCTATTCTAGTTTAGTGTAACCATGGTTCAGTGTGTAGTTATTTCATAGTCAATGTAGTTAATTGACTTTGTTCGAAGCTTTATAACTGTAGTGGATTGGCATCTAAGAGAACTAATCCAATGCTTTTTTTGTTGTCTTGAAATAGGATCCAAGTTATACAACGCGAAGTAAATCGTTGGGATCAGGAAACCAAAACTCAGGGTCGACTGACAATCAAGAGCTAGATTTGGAGTTGAGATTGTCACTTTGATTATTTGTAATTGTTTGATCACCTTGAAACTGAAAAAAAAGTCTCGTATTGTGATTATGCTGAAAATAAAATCGAAGCAACAACATCTGATTAGTTTCGATTTGGGGTTGTAACTTATTTTCTTCGTAGGGATTGTTTGACCGTTTCAGTAGAAAAATATTTTAAAGAATGGAAATCGTTTGTAAATCTTAAAGAGTATAAAAAAGATAGATTGTTAACCATTCATGGTAAAGTTCTCTAGGAGCGAACATGTTAAACTCTGTTACGTAGTCCACGTTTGGCACGGAAATTTGTTTTATTATAGATTCATTTAACATATTTTTAATTTGAATAATTTTATTTTATATTATGTGTAGAATGTTATTTTGTAATTTTTTTCTTAATTATCAGCCTTTTCCGTTGAATTTTTCTTGTTGTAAGATACTCAAACATTAGTTTCGTTTGGATTGACTAAGTTTTTTAATATGATTGTTACGTTTATTAATGAAGTTTTTTTTATTATCTGTATAGATTTTTTTTTTTTTAGTATAAGTTATCTAATTTCATTTTTCTCCTTTTCATTTGTTGTCGAGTTATTTTAAATTGCGTATTTCACTGTACTATGTATATATATATTATTATTTTTATATCAGTTTTAAAACTATTATTGAAATTTTTATTTTAGTATTTTACTTTTTTCATATTTATTTGAACACAATAACCTTACATTTTATTTTCTACAAATATATACCTATTTTACCATTAAAATCGATATAATGAAAATTTCGTAAATGTTTAATTTCTTCATAGTTATATGTAGCATTGATTTTCGCTATTTTATATAATTTATTTTTTGAAAGTTACATACTTATTTCCCTATTAAAAATTCATGAAAGTGTAATTAGTTATTTTATTTTTGTTGTTTTAAAGTAAGTAAAATGTAATTTTCTTAAAACTCTAATCGAATGGATTTAATACAAAAACATAGATCATTCCTTTTTTATATTTATTTCTTGAATTTAGTTGTATTTTATTTAATACATTTTATTAAAAATAATAATTGATATGATCCTAAAAAGGAAAGCTGATTAAATATAACAGAAAATATATTTTAAATTAGGTATGCAACACAAAAACCTAATACTTATTGTTTCCAGTTTGGAAGACATATGTTTTGTTTGAATTTTTTATTATATTTAAAATTAAAATAAACTATATTATCTAAATAAATATCTATTGTGCAGTAAATTATACTGATTGATTTTTAGAAAATAAGATGACATAGTAAACTCACATCTCTTTCTTAAATCATCTAATAATATTTAAAAATATTCTTTATGATCTTGCACCAAAAAACTAAAACATATTGCTATTCGTAGGATCACATAGCTAAATCTACATCTTACCGACTCAACAATACTTTTATGAAATAACATTCATTTCAACCAGAAAAAAAACTTGGCTTCACCTCCCCTTTCAATGCATCACCTGTTGTCTCCAGCCAGAGACGAAGGTCTGCGTTTATTTCCCTGCAGTGTCGAAAAGTGGTCGAACATTTGACCTCATGGCATATTTATCTGTGCTGCTTGCATCTTTTTTCTTTGTCGTCAGCTTTTATACCTCGGCTTGTAGATCTTCTATTGATGTGTCATAGCTCTGTATCTGTTCAAATGTTGTGCTGAAACTTAATCCCGAAATCCAAATTCTCTTCTAAAAGCTCTTTGAACTGTTCCTTTACCAGGGTCATTTCTCGTTTTCTGCAGCCACTAACCGATAGATAGTCATCATTTGACACTGGTCTTCCATCAAGTACTTGCTTTCTGCAGGAGGCTCATTTTCTCTCTAAGTAGTTTGATCTCATCGTCTTTTGTCATGTTATCACTCTTCAACTATGTTTGTATTTCATCTCAAATTTTCTTCATATCTTTGTAATCTGAGATTAGTCTTGTACTCTGTAAGAACATGCCGTTATGTGTTTTTGATTCCCTTTATAAACATCTATTTCCACTCGAGTTCACTTTCTCCCTCTTTATGATCGGCTTGATGTTAGGCTGCTAGCCAGTAGCGGTCCTGACTTGCAAAGGACTAGAAGTTTTTTTAGAAAAAAAGGCTGATAATGTCCCAACCTTGGTTCGAACTGGGGTTGTTAGGCTCAGATTGCTTAATAGAAACCACTAAACTAAATAAATATTTTGTCAAAAATTGGCCAAAACTTATATATTTTTGAAGGCCAGAAGTCCATGCTTCTAATGCTTCCTATCATGGCCGAGTCTACTGCTAGCTATTGAAAGTGATATTAGATTCTTTAGAAGAGATCTGCTTCTAGAAAAAAAATGTGTATTGTCAAATGCAGCTTGCTTTTCTAAAACATTATCGAGAATAGAATAGAATAGGTATTCATCATCTTCAATCACACAATCTTACTGAACTCATATTTTTAAACAAAGATTCTCTCTTTTTTCTCCTTTATACTATTCTCAAACTCCCAGTACTTAGACGAACCTAGCTCGTAAGAGCTCTTCACAAACTGCTCTTTCTGCGACGACACAATCTCTTAAAAATTACAAATTCTACTTCACCATACTCAATCAAAGTTAAAATTAGAAATTACAAATATAAGTTATTCGTATACAGGTTATAAATAGTCAAAACCAAAACGGTTAACATTAGTTTTCAACTATGTCTTGTTGCACACTGGTTACATAACACATAGATGGCTTGACTTATGCACAGAGGCATATAGCGTCAAGTCATTTAATGACGTAACTTAAACGTTGATCCAAATAAATATTATATAAATATAAATGTACAATTCTCGGTAAGCTTAGTATATGAATGTATGCATATTCATTCACCATATTACGTACCTGTAAAAGTAGCTCTCTCCTACATTAGTTTCCTTATCGAAATAAATGTGTGTTCTTGACGTGGCATTAGGAAACAAACGGCCTGCATGACAAAGTTTGCTAAGTGTATTAACAAACTCTGAAGCTATTATTGGAATCAGATGAGACTCTTTAAACAAAAATAATAACCAAATACCTTCAACTATTTTTGGGTTAATGCTCGTAGCAATAATAACCCGTGGATCACCACGTATGGCTTCCAGCCTGTTGTGAAACGAAACAGCGTGCAAAGTCGAGCAAACTCAACGTCACATATATATCGCTGCCATTATAATGCAGGTACGTAGTTATGTGATGTTAAAATGTTATTTGCAGTAAATGCGATACATCAGATATGAATAAATCGGAGAGCTAAATATGAAATAATGAATTATTTATCCATTTTAATGGTTGCCATCACATGATTTTGTCTTCCGAAGGGTCACTGACAGTACTCTTTGCCATAGTGATTTCTCCAATGATGTGTGTGAGTGATGATTATTAAATTCATTTTCCGGCTACAATGATGAAAATTAAGAGGAGGATTACCTTGGAGTTGGCTGTTGGATTTTGCTAGACCAAGCATCTTATTTTGACTACAGAACCGGAAACATTCTTCAGGTAGTGATGAGCTCGGTTTGGTTAACTCATTCAAGGAGGTTGCATCACCGAACCGAATCAATAGGGAGGAGTCAGGCAGCCTTTGGGTTACACTTTGATGAAATACATCTATCCTGCCGTGAGATGAGACCCGAAGGTTAGAACTTGGTTAGCATTCACGGTGGCTGGTATAAGAGTTAGAGTTAACCATTTCTAAGAAAACAAGTTTATTTCGGTTTTTGAACAGATTGATAAGATGATTTTAAAAGGAGGAATGTTTACCTTTTCATAGTCGTAGATACACTGTCTCACTAAAGAAAATCTCGCATTTAAGGCTACATTGTAGTTGACTGAATGAATATGGGATTTAACCCAAATAATCTGTGACAGGTACCATTTCAGTGATGGAAATGAAGATCAGACATCGTGATCGAACGAATTGCAAAGACAAACCCTAAACTTTTGTTAGACGGAGCAAAGATTAGAGTCAACCCCTATTGGGATGTCAAGCTGGTCTGTTCGACATGAGGCCCAAAACAATAGCAAAGCCCGCACAAATGAAAGGATGAGTTTTTGAATAAATTCAATGGTGAGTTTTTGAGGAGGGGCACATGTCGGCTCCTACACCCAATTGATGATGTGGATTGACGAGAATAGAGACAAAGTGTCTTTTTATAATAAGATAACTTGAATCCATTGTCATTGATATTCACTCCATTACTGTCTTGTTATTATAACAAAAGTATAAAATATAAATGCCTCTTAGTTTTGCAACTTATTTACACTTGAATACTCATTAGATATTTATTAAAAAATAATATTTATGTATGTTTTATCTTTTAAAGTTAATTAAGGCCACTGAATAATTAATAACCTACTTTTTAACTTTTTAAACTTTTCATCTTTTTTTATTTAATTAATGTTTTTTTACTAAATCGAATTTTAACAAATAAATCATGGCAACAATTATTTAAGAAATCAATTTGTCATTGCTATCATAGGGATATTATGTATTCCACACTTTCAAATATTCAGTATACTATCACTGATGTAGATATCAGTAACCTAGGGTTTTCTTTTGATAAAACCACGACAATAGTTTTGTACAAAATTCGAATCAATTAAATAAATTAGTATATTCATATGTATATAATTTAGTTATTTTTACCCCAATAGTTTTAATAGTCTTTCTAAACAAACAAAATATAATAATTCAAAGCAGAATATCATTCTTAGTCTCTCCATACGGATAATTAATGAGGAATCAAGGATAAAAAAAACTCGCTATAAAATATAAAATTATTATATTTAAATATGTCATAAATTTAGTATATATATACAATTTAAAATTATTTATTACTAAATATACAAAATAAATATTTTTTTATTAAAATCTATAAATAATAAGCCGCACAGGTCCACGGATCGAGCTCTAGTTCTTCTTATAAGGATTTGTATATCTTAGATCTTAAATATTAGAATCTTTTTTTTTTTTGACGCCGAACACCATGTATTATTAATTCATGTCGAACAGGT